TGTTGTCCGTCACTCGTTTCCTCCTTGTCCAGTCCATCCGCGTTTGTCCTCGTTCTGCTCTTCGTCACTGTCTGTCCACTCGTTTGATCCTCCTTTGATCCATCCGTCCTCGTGTCCCGTCGCGCTCACTGACCGTCCATCCACGGACCGGTCACTCGTTTCCTCCACTGTTTTCCTTGTCCGTCTCCTGTGCTCGTCCAGTTCCTTGTCATCGTCCTTGTCGTGTGTCCTCCTTGTGTCGTCCTTGTCCATCATTTCATCGTTCCTGTGCTCCGTGTGCTGTCGTTTGCTCCATGTGTCCGTCAGTCGTCCGTTGATCTTGTCCATGTTCTTGTCCAGTTACGTCGTTTGTCCTCTCCGTCCGGTCACCGGTCATGTGTCGTCCGTCTTGTCCAGTCCATCCTCGTGTCCGGTGTTCCTCGCGTCCGTCCACGTCCACCTCGTTTCCGTCCATGTCATCCACTCGTTTCCTCGTCCAGTCATCGGTGTCTCACTTGTCCAGTCGTTTCCTCCGTCGTTTCCTCCACGTCCGCCTCATGCTCGTGTCCTTGTGCTCCGGTCCACTCGTTTCCTCGGTCGGTCCGTGTCGTCCGTCCTCCAGTCACTCGTTCCTGTCCTCCAGTCGACTCGTGTCCATGCACCATCACTCCGTTTCTCCAGTCTGGCGTCACTCGTTCCTCATGTCTCGTGTTGATCCGTCGTTGCATCCATGCTGTCGATTCCATGATCCGTCGTCACCTATTTGTTCCCCCAATCCACCACATCACTGCTGTTCCTCCATGTCCTTCATCCATCGTCCTTTCCTCGCTTAACTGTCAGTCAGCCAATCACCACATCGCTCGTTTGTCCACGTCCAATCACCACGTCATGTTTTCCTCGTCAATCACCGTCATGGTCCTGGTATTATCCAATCACCACATCACTTAACTGCTCACTCATCCAATCACCACATCACTTAACTGATCTCTTATCCAATCACTACATCACTCATTTGCTCACTGACCCAATCACCACATCACTCACTTCCTAACTCACCCAATCACCACCTCACTTAACTGCTCACTCACTCACCACCCAATCACTCACCAATCATCACTCCTTTAACTGCTCACTCACTCCCAATCACCACATCACTTAACTGCTCACTCATCCAATCACCACATCACTTAACTGCTCACTCACCAATCACCACATCACTTAACTGCTCACTCACCCAATCACCACATCACTTAACTGCTCACTCACCCAATCACCACATCACTTAACTGCTCACTCATCCAATCACCACATCACTTAACTGCTCACTCATCCAATCACCACATCACTCATTTGCCTCACTCATCCAATCACCACATCACTTAACTGCTCACTCACCCAATCACCACATCACTTAACTGCCTCACTCATCCAATCACCACATCACTACATTTCCAATCACCATCCTCTTATCAATCACCACATCACCCGTTTGATCACTCACCCAATCACCACATCACTTAACTGCTCACTTATCCAATCACCACATCACTCATTGCTCACTTATCCAATCACCACATCACTTATTTGCTCACTCATCCAATCACCACATCACTTAACTGCTCACTCATCTCAATCACTACTATATCCAATCTCACCATATCACCACATCACTCATTTCCTCACTTATCCAATCACCACATCACCTACTGCTCACTCACCCAATCACCACATCACTTAACTGCTCACTCATCCAATCACCACATCACTTAACTGCTCACTTATCCAATCACCACATCACTCATTTCCTCACTTATCCAATCACCACATCACTCATTTCTGCTCACTTATCCACCCACCACATCACTTAATCTGCTCACTTAATCCAATCACCACATCACTTAACTGCTCACTCATCCAATCACCACATCACTTAACTGATCACTTATCCAATCACCACATCACTCATTTCCTCACTTATCCAATCACCACATCACTCATTTCTCACTCACCCAATCACCAATCTGCTCACCACATCCACCACATCCTTAACTGCCCACTCATCCAATCACCACATCACCTTAACTGCCCTCACTGATCCAATCACCACATCACTCATTTGCTCACTCACCCAATCACCACATCACTCAACTGTTCCCTCATCCAATCACCACCATCACCACATCACTCATTTCTCACTCATCCAATCACCACATCACTTAACTGCTCACTCCAATCACCACATCACTCATTTGCCTCACTCATCCAATCACCACATCACTCTCACTCACCCAATCACCACATCACTTAACTGCTCACTTATCAATCACCACATCACTCATTTTCCTCACTCACCCAATCACCACATCCTCATTTTCCTGCCTGCACTTATCCAATCACCACTCACTCATGCTCACTCAACCAATCACCACATCACCATTTTGATCACTCATTTCATCCACATCATTTGTTCACTCATCCAATCACCACATCACTCAACTCCTCACTCATCCAATCACCACATCACTCATTTGCTCACTCAATCAATCACCACATCACTCATTTTCACTCACCCAATCACCACACCATCAAACTCACTCATCCAATCACTTACTCATTCACTCACTCAACCCTATCACCACATCACTCATTTGCTCACTCACCCAACTCATCCTATCACTCACTTAACTGCTCACTCATCCAATCACTACTATACTCATTTGCTCACTCACCCTATCACCACATCACCAACTGTCACTGATCAATCACCACACTACTCACTCACCACATCACTCATTTGCTCACTCTCATTTGCTCCTCACCCACATCACTTATTTGCTCACTCACTCAACTACTTCTTAACTCATGCAATCACTACTATACTCATCTGCTCTCCACTCACCCCACTCACCACCATCACTCATTTGATCACTCATCCAATCACTACATCACTCAGCTCCTCACTCATCATCACATCCAGCATCACCACACTCACCATCCATTTGATCACTCACTATCACTCCAATCACCCATATCACTACTCACTCACCCAATCCTCATCACTCATCACCAATCATCACTCACCTGCTCACTCACCCATCACTCATTTCCTCACTGATCACTCACCCAATCACCACATCACTCACCTGATCCAATCACTACATCATTCAACTCCTCACTCACCCAGTCACTGCTTCACTTAAGTGCTCACTCACCCAGTCACTACATCACTCAATTCCTCATTCATCAATCACCACATCACTCACTTGCTCACTCACCCAATCACCACATCACTCAACTGCACACTTATCCAATCACCACATCACTCAATTATTTACTCATCCACTCACTCACTCACTCACTCACTTATAATAATTCAGTTATGCACATTACGACATCGAGACCTACGTATCGCAATGTAGATCGCAGACTGGGGTCGCACAGTGTTTTGCTTCAATGTTTTCGAATATGAAGTCTTGTTAAATGTTATCAAGGCTCGGATGTTAATCTCAGGACAATAAGTCACCGACAAACCACTCAACAAAGACTCTTTGTATGTGAGTTAGAAAGACTCTCATTGTATTTCCTTCACCACAATAACATGATGACAATAAGTGACACTGTCTTCTAGTGATATAACTACACAAAAAATAGGGCCCTGGGCTGCTCTTTTTGTGTAAAACATACAAATATACAACAGTCTTTGTTACGTTAGATCACAGACGTTCCTGGCTGATTAAAGCCGACACCTCAATCACAGTAGATTCATTATACATTTATACAGTATACTTGTATGTGTAATATATTCAACCGTCACGTGATTTAAACACGTAGTCAATATAAACTACAATGAGAAAAACTGAGAAGACATTTGGCTTTGGGATATTAACATACTTCAATATAATGGATATTTCTTAATAAAAGGGCATGGATATTCTAACACTAATATTTTCAACAGGCATGAAGTATCATTTTGGCAAATGGTCAGAATAAATGTATAGTATTATCAGTGAACAAGAACAAATACACATGCTATAAACATATATTGATTATGATAATAATACTTGACTCCACGTAGATATACATATTTTATTGTGTTGGCTGGTTCATCACCAGGGACAAACATTAGGGACATATATACGTACTGCATTACCATAATTCGATAATCAGGATCATTTTGCTTGGTTATGGTTTCGTTTGTATTAACAAGGCTCAAATGTGTAAATGGTCTAACCAAACGCAGTCAACTGATTTCGTATCTTACATATTGTTACCATTGTTCTTACTACATCCTTTACAATACTTTCCTTCCTGTCATTTGTTGTATTTTGTTACGTAACACGCATGTATGTTTAGACATTGTTGTTAAGAGAAATACACAGTCATTTTCCTCTGGAAATTTCCACATGTGCTATTGTCCATTGTTTGAAAATTTATGTATACCAGCACGTTTGTCCCATATATATCTACATGCTTACCACTGGTAAACCTCATGTGAATGGATAAGACTGTGAGTTACGTTTAGCGCTGCAGTTTACGTGAATCGAGTTAAAAACCTGTGTGTCAGCTATACGTAGGAGTAAAACCCGAAGTGATACAGTTCTGAGACGTATAACATCCTGGGGGATCCCATGATGCTGGTAGATCTAGAATGGTGCCGGCGAACTGCCGTTCGAACCCACAACATGTATATATATATATATACAAGTACATGTTTATATTGCCCTGTCAATATTCGAGCCACGACATCTGCAGAGGATTGTTCCTACTTTTAATGAAATCGCCTTTGATTCCCCACACAACACATGGGTACAATGTGTGAAGCCCATTTCTGTTGTCCCCGTCGTGATATTGCTGGAATATTGCTAAAAGCGGCGTTAAAGTAAACTCGCTCACTCACTCACTTTGATTCCTCGGTGTCAGATTTACTTCATAAATGGCTCATTTACAAGACATACATCATAGATAATTTGTGATAATTAGTGATTGCTGTGTTTTCTTCTGTACTTTATTTCCAATTTCAGGTTTATACATACCATATCCGACTACTGTACAGAGTATTCCAGGTACCTGTGTCTGTTTGACATCTGCTTGGAACTGTCGACAAGAACAATAGACGGTACGTGCTTGTAGACTTTCTTCTCAAATTAATGTCACTGTGTTATTGTGATTCGTCATTTAAACATTAATTGTTGACATGTATACACGTAGATTCGTGTACTGTGAGCATGTGCACCATTGAAGATCCGGGTTAGAATTGATCTTCAGTAGCCCATGCTTGTCGTAAGAGGCGACTAAAGGGATCGGGTGGTCAGGCTCGCTGACTTGGTTGACACATGTCATCGGTTCCCAATTGCGTAGATCGATGCTCATAGTGTTGATCACTGGATTGTCTGACCCAGAATCAATTATTTAAGGACCGCTGCCACATAGCTGGGATATTGCTGAGTGCAGCGTTAGACAACAAACAAACAAACCTCATCGTGTGTCCGTGTCTGTGTTTGATATGTCCGTCAATATTATCGCGATGTTTGTTTTATGGGACGTGGACACAAACAGTTCGCGTCAACTCGGCTTATTCCATTATCCCTATCACATCTCGCGGAGTAGTAATACCGCACGATGATATTGTAAACCACACTGCATCCAATCCCTCCGCGTACAGAGAATAGGTCCAAATTTTAGTGATTGAGCCAGCGTGCTGCTTCGACACTGACCCCGGGAAGCAGCCTGGGTCAAACTAACCTCGTTTCCGTGGAACCTCATTACGTGATGAAAATGGATGGTGTTCTTGAGTTCCATCACTTGATTGTCTGGTCGCATGACAAGCGTACAGATGTCAGGCAGTAAACATACCTTTTTATGCAGAATATGCGAATGCTGGGTTAGACAGAGTTAAAAGCAGAACATGCGTATTTTACACGAACTGCTGGTGTCAACTCTGATTTTCAGTGATCCGTTCCTAAACTTTTCATCCCTGCTTGGGATTTTACGCCCAGTAGAACTGTCACGGCGCAGATTAGAGAATTGTTTTCCCTGGCGTGAATGACTGTATATTTATTTGTCCCCGACTTCTACCATTCAGGCTGACACAGCAATATCACATCATTAAAAACTTCCGCTTTAGCAAAATAGTGTTATTTTGCCATTCAAAACGTAAACAACTTTCAAAATGGCCATCTCATGCTGAGCATCATCCTCTCATACATCCGCCGCCATCACAACAGGTCGTTTCCTCTGTACGTGTGTATTGATGTTGTTTTCATGGTTGTATTAGGTTTGATGTGGCTGTTGTAGCCGCAATATTCCAGCTATATGGCGATGGTCTGTAAATAATTTGACCAGACAATCCAGTGATAAACAGCATGAGCATCGCTCTACGTAATAGGGCTTGTATCTTCCCATAAGACCGACCTCCCAAAAGACAGACCGCTTAAAACAACACATTTTATGGTTGGTTGCATAAGGCTTAATGGAGCTGTACCCTTGATAATAATGGTACGTGCCCAGGTAAAAACAGATAACATTAGGTATTAACTATAGTTTTATCAATTCATGTAATTAGTCCATGGGCTAATATAGAAGACTATATTTTTTTGAAAGCTTATCATATGTACATTCAAATTCCAGGTGTTTGCAGGCTGGGTGCGGGGAATTTTTCCCGCAGTGAAGGGTCAGGGTGGGAAAAATTTGGGAAAATTAGTTTTTGCTTTTTTCACAAAATACATTCTAATAACTGCTTTCTATCAGGAACTATAAAAATATTTAATGTTTATTGATAAGTTATAGGTACAGGAAGACATTTACTTTGAAAAATGCATTGCGTCTAAGTGAAACATTAAACTTTATAGCTGTTTTTCTACACTTTCTAGTGGGCAATTGTTTTAAGAAGGTATTCTTGTTTCAATAGCTCTAACATGATCAAAATTAATGTTACAGCTATACTTAAAGCATGGAAAGACTTTGAGATGGTTTATTGTAGTCTGGGTGCTGGGGATTTTTCATGCCCTGACCCCCCAAGAGGGGGGCCAGGGGGTAAAAATTTGGAAAATGAGTTTTTCCTTTTTTTCACAAAATACATTCTAATAACTGCCCTTTATTAGGAACAATGAAAATATCTAACATTTATTATTTAGTTAGAGGCCCAGGAAGACTTTAAATTGAAAAATGCATTGTGTCTAAGGGGGAAATCAGACTTGAATGCTGTTTTTCTACACTGTCTAGTTGGCAGTTGGTTAAAGAGCGTATATTTCTTCATTTGCTCTAAAATGATCAAAATTAATGTCACAGCTATACTTAAAGCATGGTGGTTTATTCTCACTTTGGCGTTTTATAACATTGAGTTACCATTACTTACATTTATATACCTTTATGCCAAATCATCATAGATTGTGTCCACAAGACTCTCAATCTCAACTTCGTCTGAATCCTCCATTCTTCTCAAATCTAAGTTCTTGCTGGATATTTTGTCTGTCAACCCTTGTGGAAGAATGTTGCCTATGGTCCATTGACATTTCAGAGCATTTACTCCCCCTTTCAGCCACCCTTAGCCCACAGGGTGAGCAACATTAGGGGGATTCTTGTCAGCATTGACCAAGATCAAAGCCTGGTGATCGCACGCTGCATGTGCACGTGTAGGGAGTCTCTGCAAGGAGTCCAAAGACCTCAACAAGTCAGTAGCTATCTCATCAGAAAGTCCTATCTTGGATAAAGCATTCACAAATTCAGGGTGAGATTCGAGAAGCTCAGTGGGGAGAACTTTGCCGCATTTGACAAAGGCACTGGTGGTATCACGTCCTGTAAATGCATGAAGGGCTGGCTGGACATTGCACAGAGTGGACCCTTTCAGATTGATGATACTTTGTACATCCAGAAGTCTTCGTTTGCCATTAACTAAAACACTCTTCACCATTCATAGAGAAGACTTTCTTTCCTTGAAGTCGACTCATCCAAATGAAAGTTGACAGAAATGTATTTCCTCAGTTTGTTCTCTTGAGTGAGCAACATGACACTGATGGCGAAAAAAATCTTCATTCCCATTATCACCTGTTCCATGGGCCTTAGCACTAACTGATGGCTATCCAGTGAAAATCGACAAAGCCAAACTGCTGCACTACCTGGAGACTAATGCAAAGAAGCATGATTTGATCGCTGATGATGCTGTGCATACAGTAGATGGTAATGCCCTACTCCAGTCCCTCACTGGCATCCCCGATACATTTGCGAAGCTAGCTGAGAAGGTTTCTGTGATGCTTCCACATTCGGAAAGAGTGGAGTTTGTCACAGATTCATAACAAGAAAGACTCCATCAAGTGATTAGAGAGCTCATTTTTGGTTCAGGGTCCAAATTATAAAACCCCATCTGACTGGAAATCGTTTATGTCCAATCCCAAGCACAAAAGGCAATTGATACAACTGATATTTGATGAATGGTGAACTGACAAATACACAATTCAACTTCAGTGGAAGAAAAGATTCGGCCAAGGCTCGGCACTGTGAACATTATTTCAACTCGGGCATATTTCCCGTAATCACTCGTACCTCGTTGGTTATTCTCTAATTATGATTTTTAAATTAAGACATATTGCATCAACACATATGTACATCAACATCTATTTGCCAGATCACAGTGACTTGTGAATATTATCAAAAACAATAATTTATATACATGTACCTATCAAACATATGAGACCAAGCACCATATTATTTTACATCACATGTCAGATAAGAGCACAGATAACACTTATTAGAAAGTCACTTGAACTTCATCATGTTTTCCTTTCACCTTGCTCTTGGCATACAGGTAGCCTTCTAGAAGGTTGATCGGAAAAAAGTCACTGCACTTTTTATTATACTGTCCAGCACTAAATGCCCTCAGAAATCAATTTCTTCCCCAATATTTCTGTAAACATTGTACTATTGAAAAATGTGTTTATCTAATGAAATCTGATTATTCACCACTTAACCCTAAAGTTGCCACATTTATCAAAACTGGACTTAGCTCAATGTTTGAGTATGTATCAATATGCTGTATGTTCTCTGTGTCACTATATGTGATTTTTGAGAATAAGATTTCGGTTCTATTCTGTTCTGTTCAGTAAAAGGATTAGTAATATGTTTTGAGAAGGGCACAGGAGATAGGAGTGTGCTGTTACTATACTCTGTAGGGACTCTGGGTCAGCTCATTAATTAAATAGGGGTGGACAGCATGGCTCAGCTAATTAGTGTACTCATTGAGTCTGTCTTATGGGAGGTCTGTCTTTTGGAAGGTCTGTCTTTTGGGAGTGAACCGTCTCAACCAAGTCAGCGAGCCTCACCACTCGATCCCGTTAGTCACCTTTTACGACAAGCATGGGTTACTGAAGACCAATCCTAACCCGGATCTTCAGGGGTTGGGTGTATTAAGTATTATTGTTCATGAGCACATGCTCCTTTCATTCGGGACTATTGTACCAGTATAATTTTAGCCACAGATGTCAGCTTGACACTGTTCTTTTCTTAAAGTGCAAACGCCAATGTGTTTTATGAGTGCTCATCCATATAGTTGAATCATCAACCGGGTGCACCAGCTGCACATTCTTCCAAGGCTTTTCACCAGGCCCAGCTGTTCTTTCAATATATTCCAATCTCAAACAAAGGTTTAACTATCACATGGGCCCCGTTCCTCGTAAAATGATCGTTTTGAGGAACGGGGCCCTGGTACCGTACCCGTATCAGTGGCGTCTGATATTTAGTAAACACTGTGTTTCTATAATTATGGACAACATAATTGTAATGTAATATCAAATATAATCTATTTTACTCGCATGAACACGGATTATACTTGACCTAACTCTGACTTTCAATGAAAAAAGGGAACATGGCCGTCGTCTCGCATCTATGATCTCACAGCCCGACTTCGCAAAGCTGGGATTACAATATACATACGCGCTGGCTATCGGATTTGGGCAGTTGTTTGTTACTTTTTAGATTACATTAAAAGCACATATGACTTTAGTGTGTGAAAATGTATACTTTGTTTTATCCTTTATAACATATTTCAAAATGTAGTGATTTCATATATCTCCTTAACTACTAATATAAACACATGCGCCCATTGCAGTTCTCAAAGTTCGTGTTTGCACTGTTAACTGTTGACAGAGTTGACGCGGAATGTACAAAAAAGGGAGAGAACTCTGCCCTCGGTAAAATCCGGAAAATACACACGGGTCGTAGTAAAATCGAACACAGCTGAAGAAAACGACTGGCATTGAGGCGAAAAGGGCAGGGCGCAAAAAAAAGGGCAGGGCGCAAAAATCAAAGGGCAGGGCGCAGCGCCCTCCTAAATGTGCCTAGGGGGGACACTAACACTATTGGAGTTTTAACCAATCCATGGTAAGCATTGATTTTTATTGGTCTCCCATTTTTTCCTCTTAACTTCAAGTTCATAAAACTCATGCTTATGTTTACCAATCCATACATTTAGGGATCAATTATTTGACCCATGTTTTGAAGTATTTCTTGTCTTTGACAATGAACCATCATGGGTAATTATTATTTCTATACAAGTACTAGCCTCTTGCTAGATTAACTGAACACTGATTTACGCCGCAGTAGGTGAGGTGAGGTGAAATGGGGTTTTAACGTCATGCTTAAGAATATTTCGCTCACATGACGACGATGATGCGTGTGTATGTGTATGTGCGGCTGCTTGTACTAGCCCAGACTTAAGCTAGTGTTATAGTTCTAGCCCACTGAGATACCATGCCGCAGTGAATCATGGATACCCCACTCAGACACATTATACTGATTGCGAGCCGACCAGTCCTTGTTGTACCCATTAATGCCGAGCGCCAGGC